AGAGTCAAAATAAATAAAAAACGCCAAAACTGTTTGAATTCAAAATTGCATGTGGATTTTGTGTTTTGTTTGGCGGTTAACTTATTTTTTAAGATATCTTTTATCTAAAAAATATAAATTAATATTTTTTAAATACATTTCATTAATTTTAATACACTGATATAAAAGATAAAAATACATATAACAATATTATTTTAATTAAAAATTATTTTAGAAAAGAATACCTCGTATCCCATTACTGATAAAACACAATTTCTTTTTTGTTGCTCGGGCAGGAGAACTTTCCCTCAATTTTATTGTAAAAGAGGACTCTTTCCAGAAAAGACACAAGGGCATGTTTGGAGTTTCGTGGGATGTATTTCCCCAGATCAAGGAGCGATCCCAGTCCCTGTCCACGGAAGCAGCGTTTATTTTTGTTTTTAAAAGAATTTTATTTATATGTGTTTTAAAAATATATTTGATTTTTTTAAAAAATAAATTTTTTTGTTATTTCACAATGCTAATATAAAAATAATTTTTTTAATATATTTTTAAGAATGTTTTTTAAAACACTTTATATCATAACATTAAATATATATAAAAATAAAAACACAAATAAAATAAAATACAATGAAGAGAGAATCTAGGAAGAACCTGCACCCCTGCCACTAACGATGCCCCTGCAATACAGGTCTCTTGGCCCATACCTGCACTGCCAAAATCAACCTGTAACTGTAACACCTATCAACCTCAGCAAAATAAACAAATACTACTAGTAAAAAAGAAAAGAAAAACTTTGATTTATTAAAAAAATAGGAGCAACTTGACTTGGCATATCTAACTCATTGCTGATTCGATTTAGCATTTGTTCAACGCCAGATTTCACAATGGATAGAACGGAGTTAACCTAATGTGATTATGTTAGAAATCCAGGTTCACCGTGTTAAAACTTGCCAAAAGCTTGTTGATATTTTTCTTATAATGATCTGGTTTTAAATTTTATTTTTGAATTGACAGGGGTTGGTCTACTCAATTATTATGACCTTGGTTTGAAATTATAATTGAAATGTATTTTTGACATTTTTTAAAAATATTTTGAAAAATAATATTTATTTTGCGTTCAAACATGCACTCGAAGAATGGTCAAAATGAAAAGGCATAAAAAAATTGATGTTTCCAACCACAGTTTCACGTTGGCATGGACAAACAGGCCTTAATAACTATGCTATAAAAATAGATGCAGCTTTGAAATGAAGGCTGCAGATGAACAAACATCGCTGGATTGATTCTGTTTATTGGTAAGTTCAAAGCTCTGCCCTCTTGTGTGCCTCGCCCCTTTCATTTCCTTCTACTGTATTTAATTTTTTGTTGTTTTTTATATGCACTGGTCTCATTCTTGCTTGTCTCGTTCAATGCTTTCTCTGTCCTTCATGGTTTTTTTTGGGAGCATTTGTGGGCTTCTTTTGTATTGCTTTGTGTTGATGGGGATCTGTTACTGAATGGGTCATCGTTGTTTGCTAAGGATATGTATGCATTGTTGTTTGAGAGAGACGTAATGTCGTGTACCATAAATGGCATGGTTATAGCTTGAATAGTGTGTTTTATGTTTGAAAGAATTGGCCGAGGACTGATATTTTTCCTTCAACTTAGCCAAAAGAAATTTGAATTTCGCCGTTGGATTTGGAGAAGATGTTGTGTGCTTGCTCAGGAGAGCAATTCAAACTTGATGAACCACCGCAGTCACCGGAGTCGCTGGCAACAAGGGATTTCTCGGCGAGTGGGCTTTCGTCGAGGACAACCGGAGACCGGGAGTCTAAACTTGAGGATTTCCAAGTGGATGAAGCTGAATCTACTCTCAAAGAGGCTCTCTCATTGAATTATGAGGTGCGTGTATTATAGCTTTTAACAATGACTTCCACCAATAATACAAATTTCTCTTTTAATGTTCTCATCTTTGAATGTGATATAGGAAGCAAGGGCATTGTTAGGGAGACTTGAATATCAGAGAGGGAACTTTGATGCAGCCCTTCAGGTATTCCAGGGTATTGATATCAGTGGTTTGTCCCCCAAAATGATTAAGGCAATTGTTGAAAGAATTCAGTATAGAAAGCCGCGTTCCAAAGGTGAAATTGTGCCTCCAAGTGTGATGTCTATGCATTCAGTGAGTCTTCTTGTTGAAGCAATCTTGCTAAAAGCTAAATCACTCGAGGAACTTGCGCAGTATAGAGGTATAATTTTTTTTTTTTTTTTAAATCTTGTTAGCAAGCTAATGCTATATCTCAAATGGGAAAATTTGGATGGGCTAAGTTATGCAATTTGAATTATTGGATGCTTTGTCTTTACATAACTTGTTTTTAGCATAAAACATATCTTGCCCCCACATATGGGACTTCAATGGCTTGATATTGATGGAATGTTTGCATTTACAATCCAAAAACTCAAATGGTTCTGATACTGGTTCCATTCATTAGAGGCTGCAAAGGAATGCGGAATTATTTTGGACATAGTTGAATCAGCACTACCCAGTGGCATTCCT